AAAAGACATAGGTACAGCATTTTTAATTGCAGTATTTAGCATAAGAGCTAGGCCAGGGAATTGACTTAGGTATCCAAATAAAGGATGAATTATGGAAGTATGTTAGGTATACACACACACACACACACACACACACACACACACACACACACTCCAATTGGGTGGAAGAGATCCAGACCAAAAGAAAAGCTAATACAAATGCACTGGAGCTGGATTGTGCCAAGCTGATCACAGTATTAGTAAGAGACTTGTGCTAAGTAAATTCCAGATCCAGGGAGGCTTCCCCTGGGGTCAAGCCACTTCCTGGCTAATGCCACTTCCTCAGAGCCCTGAGTGGTTGGCCCAGAAGACTGGCATGTTGGCCAACCGACTGAAGAATAGGTCTCTCAACTTCTCTGACTTGACCTACCCACCAGTTTCTTCCTGCTACAGAGAAGCCAGTGAGAGTTCTCTGTCTCAGCCAGGATCAACAGCATGAAAGGTATGAGTAGGGAGGCAGGGTTGGAAGACGGAACTGCAAGATGGCCCTCGCCACAGACATCTGAGAACAAAGTCCCAGGAGTGTCTGAGGTCTCTGTCCAATACCCTGGGCAATTGCTGAAGAGGCTAAAGTGGAGATGGAGCCCCGGTCCTTTTCACAAGGGAAATATGGCTGAGTCAGCTCATATCCCAATCCCTCTCCTAGACATTTTTTGGTCAGGAATGGGGCACAACCAGCAGTGCTCAGAGCTTACTCCTGGCTCTGCACTCAGGGATCACTCCTGGCAGGCTTGGGGGCTCATATGGTGTGCCGCAGATTGAACCAAAGTTGGCCATGTGCAGGGCGACCTATAGTATGGCTGTACTAGCATTCTGGTCCTTTTTAATTTTATAATTTTATTTTTCCTAGTCTCCTCATATCTTCTTTTTATTTATTTATTTATATATATTTTTTATTTTTATTAGTGAAACACCATGAGGTACAGTTGTAGACTTACAAGTTTTTGTGCTTGGGTTTCAGTTATACAATGATCAAGTACCCACCCCTCCACCAGTGCCCATTTTCCACCACCACGGGTCCTAGTATCCCTCCCACCTCCATCCCTCTCATCCCCCCCTGCCTCTGTGGCAGGGCATTCCCTTTATTCTCTCTCTCCTTTTGGGTGTTGTGGTTTGCAAAAGAGGCATTGAGTGGCAATCATGTTTGGTCTATAGTCTACTTTCAGCATGCTCCTCCCATCCTGGGAGGATCCTCCCAACACCCTTTATTTAGTGCTCCCTTCTCTATCTGAGCTCCCTTTTCCCCTAGCATGTGTGGCTGGCCTCCAAGCCATGGAGCAAACCTCCTGGTACTAATCTCAGCCACTCTTTCTAGTGTTAGTCTCCTATTTTGTTACTTTATGTTCCCCAGACGAATGCAATCTTTCTATGTCTGTCCCTCTCTTTCTGACTCATTTCACTTAACATACTTTCCATGTAGTACCACTTATATCGTCGTATCTTCTTGCCTTACACTTTTCATTCCTCTACCACTCTCTGATTCCCTCGCTTTTTATTCAAGCTGGATGATCTGAAAATGCTCCAGGCCATGCTCAAGATCAGAACAAGAGAAAGTCAAAAGAAACTAAGGACCCTAACTGCGTAGGTGAGAGTTACATAAGGAAATCCAGGGTGGTGGGACAAGAGGGATCTACTAAATTCCAACTTGGCAGTAGGTTCAGAAAACATCCCTGGAAAAACACAGCCAAGGAAAACGTTCAGAGTCTGGCTGTGGAGTAGTGGGAGGAGACAGTGCTAGGGGTAGGTGTGAAAAGCATGGAGATTCACATCAAAAACCTAACCCCTGCCTGCTGCCCAGTTCTAGGCAGATCCGAGTCACAAAGGAGTGAAATCCAGAGCTGCTCACGGAGGCCTGTGCTCCCAGGGATGGAAGATTTGCAAGTAAACTAAGAAGTTATTCCATGAGTTTCATGAAATAAAGCTGGTGACTGGATGACATCTTCAGACGTCTGTGATGTGAGTGTGGGGGAAATTAGACCTGAAGATAAACCCCTGCAACAATCTTTTTTTTGGGGGGAGGGGTGTTGGGGGATTTGGGCTACATCTGAAGGTGCTACGGGAACCATATGGGATACTGAGGATCAAGCCCAGGTTGGCTGCGTGCATGTTAAGCTCTTACTTTTAAGATGCTGTACCATCTCTCCAGTCCCTCAACCATATGCTCTTACCTACTTCGCTGAAGTCCCATAAAGAAGCTTTTTAGGGGCTAGAGCAATAGCACAGCAGGTAGGGCATTTGCCTTGCACACAGCCAAACTGGGTTCAATTCCCAGCATTCCATTTGGTCCCCTAAGTACTGCCAGGAGTAATTCCTGAGTGCAGAGCCAGGAGTAACCCCTGTGCATCGCTGGGTGTGACCCCCCGCCCCCAAAACTTTTTAGTGAGGGACAGAAGGACCACACCCAGTGGTGTTCAGAAACTGCTCCTGATTTTACACTCAGGGATCACTTCAGGAAGGACTCAGGGAATCATATAGGGGCTGGGGATCAAACCTGGGTAAGCTGGATCCAAAATAAGTACCCTTCTTGCCGTCCTATCTCTTGAGTCCCCATTTTACAACAGTTTCACATGTGTAGGCCAGTCCACAGACCAGCAGTTCTAACGAATATGGTGAATCAGTGATTTTCGACCTTTCCACACCTCAGACCGTCATACCCGTGGGCACTGGTTGAAGCTCACTGCCACAGGGCACTCAAGCTTGTTTGACATGCTCTTCTGTACCCTCACCCCAGACCAAATTAATGTATGATCAACAGAACTCCAGAAATCCCAACAACAAGGACAAAGATGCTCATCCAGTCAGTTCTATGTACAAAATACCCAACTGATTTATTAGTTAAGAAATGTAATGTCTGGGGGGAAACAATAGTACAGTAGGGAGGGCATTTGCCTTGCACGCGGCCAACCTGGGTTCAATCTCCGGCATTCCGTATGGTCCCCCAAGCACCACCAGGAGTAATTACTGAGTGCAGGGCCAGGAGTATTCCTGAGTATTACTGGGCATGATGAAGGAAGGAAGAAAGGAAGGAGAATGATTGGGTTCCAGATATAGTACAGATGGTTAGGCAGCTGCCTTTCATGCAATAGGCCCAGGGTCGATCTCTAGGACAACATATGGTCCTCTGAGCTTCTCTGCCAGGAGTGATCCCTGAGTGCAGAGGCAGGAAGAAGCCCTGAAAGAAATGTAATTGGAGCTAAATATATGTTGTCCTCATAGGCCCCGAATGTGTTGTCATGTAATCAATTCCAGAGCTACTATCAACCCAGAGCTACTATGTGTTTCTATGTCCAGACATGAATGTATTGAACCAATCAGAGGTAAGAAAGAAATCAAAATGCCTATTAGGTCAAAATACAGACACTGCAATACAAAGAACTTCCTCTTCTTGAAGCGTTCCAATGTTCAGGTCCCCAGACGTGAGAGCACAGCTTTAGTGGAGGAGAATTCTCCACCTCTTCAACGTGAATGGGGATGATAAAAACAGTGAGCAGAAAATACCCTCTTGAAATAGTTCATTCAACTCAGAGAAATCAGACAATATATTCAACGGAATCAAATGAAAATATCACATTTTAATACTGCTATTCAGGGCTTGGGCTTGTGACTAGAAGCAGAGCAAGTAACAGAGCATCTGTCTGCCACGTGGGGGTCCTGGATTGGATCCCCAATACCACAAGAGGAAATAAAACTGCACTCATCAGTTTACAGCACTGGTTTGGTTTGCTAAAAAAGAAAACTAGTTCAACAGGTTAAAAACCCTTAACAATATTAAATACTAACTGATATAAAAGAAAACCAAGAACATAGGCATAGATCTTTGGCAAAATTCAACTTTTACAAAACATTTACTTTTAAAGTCAGTAACGTCCAGGAATACATTGTGCATCCATTATACTTACTGGTTAGGTATTTAAAGCATTTTAGGTGAGGGCTGGAGAAATAGAGTGCTTGCCCTGCACATGGCCACCCTGAATTCAATTCTCAGCATACAGTCCTTCTCCAGCACCACTAGGACTAATTCCTGAGTGCAGAGCCAGGATTAAGCCCTGAGCATCACCAGGTATGGCCCAAAACCAAAGAAATTAATTTTAAAAATAAAGCATTTTAGGTGTATACAAATATTTGTAACCATACTAGAAATGCCAGACAGCAAAATACAAAATAAAAGCATAAAATCTACTCATTCATTATTGAAATGTACAAAATAGCTATAGGTAAATTACATATTGGCAAAAAGAATACAAAAGTTCACTAAATGCAGGTTTTCAGATTTAAGAAAGTCAGCTTTATGCACAGGATCCAAAATGGCAATATATAGGAATATACAGTTTATTACAAAGCAAAACAAAAATGTGACAATACAGCAATGACATTTAAGGACTATGCACAGTTAGGTAAGTACATCAGCGAAAAGGCTGCCTCACAACGATGGCTATAATTCCATGCAAGCAACCATTTACCTTCTATAGAGTCGTGGCAGGAATCAGTCATAAGCATCCTTATGTTCTTTTCATTCATTGATTTTCTCATACATACAGTTTCACTTCTTTGTGAGTTATCTGATGTAAACTGAGAACAGACTTCTTATAGAATATTTCCTACATTTTTTATATTCATTGGCTTTCTTTCCTGTACAAGTTCTCTCATATACAGTGAGGGCTGACTTCCTGTAGAAAGGTTTTCTACATTCTTTACATTTGTAAGGTTTCTATCCTGTGTGAATTCTGAGATGTATAATGACGACTGACTTTACATAAACTCTTTGCATTCATAAGGTTTCTCTCCAGTATGGTTTCTCTGATGTACAGTTCAAGTTGGATTCTGAGAACGTTTTCTTAAGTATTTGACATTTAGAGAACTTCTAACCTGTGTGAATTCTGAGTCCTACAATGAGATCTCACTTATCACAGAAAAAATTTCTACTCTCTACATTATAGGGCTTTTCCCCTGTGTGAACCCTCAGATGAAAAATGAGGGCTGGCTTCTTGAGGAAAGTTTTCCCGCATTCTTCATATTCATAGGGTTTTCTATCCAGTATGTTTTTTCTGATGCACAATAAGAGCTGACTTTGAAGAGAATGTTTTCCTACATTCTTTACATTTATGTGGTTTCTCTCCTGTGTGAGTTCGCTGATGAACTCTGAGGGTTGAATTGATAGAAAAGGTTTTCCTACATATACCACATTCATAAGGCTTCTCTCCTGTGTGAATTCTGAGATGCACATTGAGATGCGACTTATCTGAGAAAGTTTTCCAACACTCTTTACATTCATAGGGCTTTTCTCCTGTGTGAGTTCGCTGATGAATTGTGAGGGTTGAACTCATAGAAAAAGTTTTTCGACATATACCACATTCATAAGGTTTCTCTCCTGTGTGAATTCTGAGATGCACAGTGAGATGCGACTTCTTATAGAAAGCTTTTCTACATTCTTTACATTCGTAAGGTTTTTCTCCTGTGTGAGTTTTTTGGTGTTCAGTGAGGTATGATTTCCAGAAGAATGTTTTCCTACATTCCTGACATTCATAAGGTCTCTCTCCTGTGTGAGTTCTCTGGTGTCCAGTGAAGTACGACTTACAGGAGAAACTTTTCCCACATTCTTTACATTCATATGCTTTCTTTCCTGTGTGAATTCTCTCATGTACAGTAAGGTGTGATTTCCAGGAGAAAGACTTCCCACATTCTTGACATTCATAAGCTTTCTTTCCGATGTGAATTCTCTCATGTACAGTGAGGTCTGATTTCCAGGAGAAAGTTTTCCTACATTCTTTACACTCATATGGTTTTTCTCCAAGATGAGTTCTCTGATGAACAGTCAGGTCCGACTTCCGTATGAAAGCTTTCCTACATTCCTTACATTCATAGGGCTTTTCCCCTGTGTGAGTTCTCTGGTGTATACTGAGATGTGACTTTTGGGAGAAAGTTTTTCTACATTCTTGACACTTATAGGGTTTCTCTCCTGTGTGAGTTCTTTGATGAACAGTGAGAGCTGATATACGGGAGAAAGTTTTACCACATTCTTGACACTCATAGGGTTTCTCTCCGGTATGAATTCTTTGATGAACAGTGAGGGCTGACTTCCAGGAGAAAGTCTTCTGACATTCTTGACATTCATATGGTTTTTCACCTGTGTGAGCTCTCTGATGTACAATGAGTTCTGACTTCCAGGAGAAAGTTTTCCAACATTCTTCACATTCATAAGGTTTCTCTCCTTTGTGACTTCTCTTATGGACAATGAAGTCTGACTTCAGGAAGAAAGTCTTCCTACATTCTTTACATTCATACGGTTTTTCGCCTGTGTGAGTCTTTTGATGTACAATGAGTTCTGACTTCCAGGAAAAGGTTTTCCAACATTCTTTACATTCATAGAGTTTCTCTCCTATGTGACTTCTCTGGTGTAGAGTGAGGTATGACTTCAGGGAGAAAGTTTTCCCACATTTTTTACAGTCAAAAGATGTCTCTCCAGCGTGTTTTGTATCACACAAATTATACCCAATTTTTTTTCCTTCAAACTGAGTATTCTGAAGGCGAGTGAGGCATAATTTTTCACTAGATTTATTGCTAGCTTGATTATGTTTGGGATGAACATCCTCAAAGTCTTTATGAAAATTCAACTGAGTTGTTTTTTCAAAAAAATTGTTTCCCCATTTATTATTTATATAATCACTCTCCACTTTGTGAATTTTCTCTTGGGGAATAAGAACTGCTGTTTCACAGGAATTCCAATATTCAAACTCCTCCTGCAATTTTCCTGTATGTTTTTCAATACTTAAAATTGGATCTAAAATACAAACTGAACTCAAATTAGAAATTTTTTTTAAGTCAGTTTCTTTCTTAGTTGATGTTTTGCTGTTGCTGATTAATACTTGTTGAAAATGTTTGACCTGATTTTTCAGGTTGTTCACAATCAACTCATTCACAGTCTGGACATCTAAAATGAGATAAAAATACCATATCAATGATCCATATATAATAATTTGTTGAGGAATTATAGACTGAGCATATAGAAATCTTTTTATCCTAGAAGCACAAAATATTTAAAAAATGATAGACATCATCAATTTTATGATACATGATTTTCTACTTTTTGAATCAAAGTAATGTTAAATTGAGTGTGATGTCAAATTAGATTATTTCTTAATTCATAAGAAAAAAATTTTATTTTCAAACTGCTCACTTACTTTCTGTTTATGGATTCCAACAGAATGGTTTTTTGGGGGGAGCACATGGGGGCCACACCAGGCCATGCTTAGCTTGGGGATCACTCCTGATTGGTTTGGAGAATCCATATGGGGTTTCAAGAATCAAACCAGGGTTAGTTGGGTGTGGCTCCCAACAAAGTATTTTCACTTATTTGTTTCCCTGTGCTTTTTGCTTATAGTAACTGTGGGTATGTTCAGGCCCTTCTCCTACTACTCAAGTTTCGAGCATGGCATGACTTTCCAGAACCTTTACATCCAGAGGAGGACACTGTCATGTAAGAAAGAAAAATGTAAAGGAAAAGGATTTTCAAACTACAGTTGTTCCCATTTTTAGTTTTCCCTGGGAACAGCTATAGGTTTGGGAATATTTTCAAAAAAAACCTTAGCTTCTTCAGTTATCTTTCTACAAATTCCAAATTAAATACTACACAGCTGGTATCTCAGAATTCTACAGACCGGGAGATTGGTTCAATCATTTCATGCATTTTATAATTCTTGGTACAAATAAACCTACTTGATAATTTACTACATTAAGACTTTTACTGGATTTGTTTTTCTTTTCTTATAGTAACAATTTCCACAAAGCAAGTTAAAACGGTATCTTACAAGTCCACTCTAACAGTATGACCCTTATTAACTTGAACTACTTGGTTGTATTACTGTGACAATTCTTCTCTCTTATCAGATCTGAATTAACAATTTAGTAATTTACATCTCCAATTAGCCATCCATTGCAGCAGACTGTATGTGTACCTGAAACTATGTCAAAACAGAATGCAATCTTCTCAAATGTACAAATTTTAGAAACATTTCCTCTTTTCATAATCATTCTAAGCATATTACCATTTGTGTTTTTTTTCTGAGAATTTCCCTACTTTCCTGAAGAAATACCTTTCACTTTCTCACCCACATCCATCTGTTTAAATATTCTTTGGACTGTTAGGATATCATATAATGTGGATATTTGCTAAAGCAATTTTTTCTCAGGGCCAGAAAGATAACACAGCGGTAAAACACCTACACTGCACATGTCCCATCCAGGCTCGGGCCCCCCGTATGGTTCCCTGTACCCACCAGGAACGATTACTAAGTGCGGAGGCAGGAGTGAGTCCTGAGCACATGTGGATGTGGTGCCAATACCCACCCCATTTATTTTCCTCAAGAGCATTTAAGAACCATCAATGTATTTATTTCCATACAAACGACTATGAAAAGGAGCAACTCCAAAAATTTGACAAAAATATGAATAAGAAAAGGCATATAAAATCTATGAAATGAAATAGTCCATGAGTGGATGAAGAGAAATACAAGGAACTTTATTAACAACAACAAAAAATTTCCAGAGTCAGCATAGTTCAAAAACTTAGCTGTTTGGTGCATTTCTTTAATATAGGAATTTTATGAATGGCTGTTTGGAAATAATTGTGAGACCCTATGAATGAATATGTAGGCCTCGTGCTAATTCAGCTTTTCCATACCCGTTTTCCTTCTCATTGACTCATCAACAGCCTCTGCCTTAGTTGCATGAATTTGTGTATTCAAGCAATAAAATCATTGCTTAGAAAAAAAATTTCCAAGTGGAGACAGGTAATAATTGTATGGGGGCTATACAATTAAAACACACACACACACACACACATACACACACACAAAACTGGACAATACAAGAGCTAGATTTGGAGACAGAATGATGCATACATGTAGACTCACTACCATAAAGTCTGCACAGAAGGCCTGGAAAAGATCGAGACACAGCAAATACCTGCTACATCCTTTCCCCAGTCTCCCAACCCAGCGTGTATGTGCTGTCTGACCTGAGATGCTCTGCGTCGGGGGTCCTACTATAATCCACGGATCTTCTCCATGCTCCAACTTGATGATCACCTCAGGTTTGGTTACTGAATATCCTGTTGATGAAAAACACTGTAGGCCTTTTGCCAAACCGCTTAAAGTTTACTCTTTCCAGAATGCCACTAGCGCATCTGTTGGGCTGCTCAACATTTGATTAGAAAAGCAAATACCCACAAAATTATTTTAGCAGAAAAACTTAACATTTCACTTATTGAGAAGTTGTTTATTTACTCATGAGGAAAATTTCCCTGTACTATGAAGTCATGCCGTGTAATCCCATCAATGGCCAAGACCCAGAGAGTATAAAACCCAGCTCCCGGAAGCGACATCTTATTATCTAGTTCTTACTCTTGAGAACCTGGCAGGCTACCAAAAGTATCCTAACCATACGGCAGAGTCTGGCAAACTTCCCGTGGCATATTCAATATGCCAAAAACCAGTAACAATGGTGGGTCTCATTCTCCTGACCCTGAAAGAGCTCGAATGTGGCACTTTTTAAAATCTCAGGGTTAGGGCGAAGGAGACGTTACTGGCGCCTGCTCGAGGAAATCGATGAACAGCAGGATGATAGTGATACAGTGATGAAGTCACTCGCAGAGCTTCACTCACCCACTGACACTAGGTTCCTGTAGGTCTCCAGCATCACATCCCTGTACAGAGTCCTCTGAACATCATCCAGGTCCTTCCATTCCTCCCGACTGAAGTCCACGGCCACATCTTCAAACAACACCATGCCCTGTAAGGCATGCATCATTCATTCAAGGCATCTGCTTGGGTCGAAAGAACAGCAAGTTGGGCCTGGAGCAATAGCACAATGGGGAGGGTATTTGCCTTGCATGCTGCTGACCCAGGTTCAATCCTCAGCATCTAATACGATACCCCAGCACCAGAGGTAATACCTGGGTGCAAAGCCTGAGCACTGAAATACCCTCCACCACCAAAAAAGAAAAAAAAAAGAAAAAGTAAGAAGAGTCAGTCTGGAGGCTTACTCATCTGTTCTTCTTTATCTTTGACAGCATATGCGGAGTCTTGTACTATATTGTAGGATGACATTGCTTTGTCCTTTCTCCCTTTCTCCACAAGGAGCTTTGGTTTATCTGGTTACACCCATCACAGTGCTCCTGAGGCACTTCCATTCCATTGTGTTTATCTGTAAATTCTTCCCTACGCTCTCCTCCCCAACCAGTTAATCAGCTTTCCCCCTAATCAGACTCTGTTAACTTGTAAGGTTAGATTCCTCAGAAATCTATGATTTTATACGTATGAGTGAAATATTGCCTTTCTCCTCTCCTTATATCTTTTGAATAGTTTACTTTATGCAATGTTCTTTTTGTATTGATACAGAAAGACAGTTAATATTATGCTTTTGTAACTTAAGATTTAATTGGCTTTGAATATTATTTGCTCCTGGGCATCTGCTTTCTCGACTTAAGCCTCAGTTGCCCTTGGTTCCTAACACCCCAAAAGCAGGGTCCCGACGAGGGACTGAATGGACCCAGGGCAAGCGGTGAGCTACCCTGGCATCGAAATGGGCCAGGCCACAGTGCCACGATTCTTAACTATAAGTTAAGAGCTTGATCATAGAGAAATGCTGTCATGATCCAAAAGTAACGACGAGACGAGGACCCTGCTAGGGATAGGAAAGACTATTTGGCCTGAGCACTGTAGTCTGAGATCAAGATGGCCCTAGGAGGGCAATTCTATAAGTTTAAAGCATTTCTTACTGTATCCATACAAAATGATTTATATTATATATGCTTATATATTTATTGGACAAGGAGAGGAGAAACACACCCAGGGAGGGGAATACGCTCTAGGATGGATTGATCTGATAATGAGCATCTGTCCTAGGAGCGGATGTCCCGAGGGAAAGAATTCTACTCCTCTTGATTGTGACCACACCTATGTGTAATTGTTACCCCAACCCCTCATGCTTTGGGATTTAAAAGTACTGTAAGAGTGGGTGGGGGAATCAGAATCAGAATTGAGACGAACGGGTGGCTTGCCAGGCTCTTCGAGAGGGGTGGAGGAATCGAACTCGGGTAGGCCATGCTGGCCGTGTGCAAGGCAAACTCCCTACCCGCTGTGCTATCGCTCCAGCCCAACCACGCACACAAAATTAAATATTACAATGGAATTATTCTATAGCCAGTTAGTAGTTCTCAAAAGTAGTACTATAAAGTTCCTTAAAATCTAATACTTGGGGGACTGGAGCAATAGCACAGTGGGTAGGGTGTTTGCCTTGCATGCGGCCAACCTGGATTCAATTCCCAGCATCCCATATGGTCCCTTAAGCACCGCCAGGGGTAATTCTTGAGCACAGAGCCAGGAATTCCTGGTTCTGTGCTCAAGAATTACCCCTGTGCATTGCCGGGTGTGACCCAAAAAGCAAAAAAAAAAAAGCAATACTTGGGGGTCTGGTGCTGCCAGCAGGTTAACCTGTACCTGCGAGGCGAGTGCATCAGCAGCCTGATGGCGCCTTCAGACTTCCTGATACCACAAAATTGTCACTGTACCTTTGACTGGACTGCAACAACTTGGGACCAACTTTGCCACGAAAATAAATGGCCAGGGGCTGGAGCGATAGCATAGCAGGTAGGGCATTTGCCTTGCACGCAGCCAACATGGCCGACCCGGGTTCGATTCCCAGCATCCCACATGGTCCCCCGAGCACCGCCAGGAGTGATTCCTGAGTGCATGAGCCAGGAGTAAGCCCTGTGCATCTTCGGGTGTGACCCAAAAAGAAAAAAAAAAGAAAGAAAGAAAAAGAAATTAAACAGCCAAAAGTTAGGTATGTGGGAGCCACACTCACAAAACAGCTCATTTATTGGCTTTATTTCAGAGACCCATAAATCTCAAAAGAGATCAAAAGTCATAGTTAGGGCCAGCAACATGGCATGCTCCAGGTGAGCGGGCACACCCTACAGGGCATATGCCAATATGTTTTTTCTCTGGAAATGAAGATGATGGGCCATGATCCAGAGACACACAAAAGAATCTCCGAACCGAGCAGCTTGCTGCAGAGATGCCTCTGGACTTTAAGCCGGGTCGACTTCACAGGGTGCCTGAGATAGGGGTAGGTGTGATTCCTCCATCTGTCCCCTAAAAACCCCAGCGCCACCAACTTTCAGAACCCAATGAGATGTGCAGGTACATGGGTTCAGCCGCGGGCTCAGTGACAAACTACAGGCCTCAAAGGATAGGCGATGGGATCCTGGAGGTCATGCCCACAAACTGCCTCCGGCTGTACTTAAGCTCCTTAATTTAATGGAGTTATGATTCAGAAACACACACACAAAATCTCCAAACCTAGCAGCTTGCTGCAGAGATTTCTCCCAACCCTAACTATCTAAAATTTTAGAATTCCAGGAGCACTCAGTCATTCTCTGCATAACAAGGAATACAAAAGAGAGTATGGGGGAGACTGTCTGCCATAGAGGCAGGGATAGGGGTGCGATGCGGAGCATACTGGAGTTCTTGATGGTGGAAGATATGCACTGGTGGAGGGTTGGATGATTGATCACTATATGACTGAAATTCAAATGGGAAAGCTTTGTAACTGTATCTCACAGTGATTAAAAAATAATAACAATAAAATAAAAATAATAGGGGGTATGGTGCCACCAGCAGGTCAATCTGTACCTGTGAGGTGAGTGCATCAGCAGCCTGATGGCACTATCATACTTTCATATACCCCAAAATTGCTGCTGTGCCTTTGGCCAGACCCCAAAAACTTGGGGCAAAGTTTACCAAGAAAGTAAATGGCCAAAAGTTAGGTATGTGGGAGACACACCCACAAACCACCTCCAGCTCAGCTATATAATTGGAGGCATGGTCTCTCTGGTTCCTGATTGAACTGCTTAATGGCCATGATCCCAGAGTCTCAGAAACGAATCTCAGAACCCAAAGGCTTTTGGCAGAAATGCGTCCAATCCCTGCAGTAGGTTACTGGCGCTGGGCCACTCCAGGTGGGTATAGGTCTCGTGTCTTGGCCTGTTCCCCTTGGCCGCCCAGTGACTGCCATCCTCCAGAGGACAGTAAGGTTTGGGCCTGCAGTGATGAGACAGCACGCCTCACCAGATGGCTATGGGAACCGGCCCTTTCCTCCCCATCCCAGCGAGACCCCAAGTCGCCACCTACAAACGGCCTCTCTGCTCCTAATCAAGCTGATTAATGGCCATGATCCCAGAGACTCAGAAACAAATCTCAAAACCCAGCAGCTTTTGGCAGAAATGCATCTGGACCACATACAAGGTGGCCGCCACCTCAGAGCTTGTTGGAAAGCCAGATATAAGCCGGTGGTGATGGGGCAACTGCAGTCTCATGGGAAGGGGGGTGGTACCAGCTCACCCTTCACGCCCTACTAAGGTCATGAGTTACCCTCCACGAGCAGCTCTCCGGCTCGGCCCTGGCTCCAGAGGCAAAAGGATTTAATCCAGAGCCCGGCAGCTTGCAGTAGAAAAGTGAATGGACCATGCGTTAAACTATGGTGCCATGCCTCCCCGGGAGGGAAAGGGTGTTGCTCCCTTCCGTCTACCCTCCCCCCCTGCAGCAAGGTGGCCACCGCCTCAGAGCTTATAGGAAAGCCAGGTATGAGCTGGTGGTGACCTGGCAACTGCAGACTCATGGGAAGGGGGGCGGTACCGGCTCGTCCTTCACGTCCTACTGAGATCACGAGTTGCCCCCCACGAGTGGCTCTCCGGCACAGCCATAACACCAGACACACAGAAACCAATCTCTTAATTATCTGGCTCTTTGCAGAAATCCAAAATTGTGGCCGCATTACATTATATGATTCTCATAACCAACTATAGAAAACAAAGTATTTCACAATGCCTCTTCAGCAATTCTGATTGTTGGGAGAGAAATTCTAAACAATAATGGTGCATCTTTTATCAAAATAAAGAATGTAATCAATGTAGAGAAGAGTTAAGTGGAAATCATCTGCCTCACAGGCATTGGGAGGGGTGAGAGGGGGGTATATTGGGGTTCTTGGTAGTGAAAAAATGAGTACTGGTGAAGGGAGAGGTGTTTGATCATTGTGTGACCGGGACTTAAACCTGAAAGCTTAGTAACTTTTCCCACACTGATTCAATAAATAAATATAAGAAAACAAATAAATAAAATTATGAAAAACAAAAGTAAGGTGGAGTTCATGCCCAATTCAATCAGCTAATCAGCGGCTGAATAAATAGCAGTACTCCTACATAAAAAAATTTTTTAAAAAGTGTACTCAATTTAATAATAAATGTGGATCTTAGGGAAAAAAAATAATAGCACTGCACTGTCCTACCGTTATTCATCGGTTTTCTCGAGCGGGCACCAGTAACGTCTCCATTGTGAGACTTGTTGTTACTGTTTTGGGTATATGGAATATGCCACGAGGAGCTTGCCAGGCTCTGCTGCGGGCAGGCAGAATGTCCCCGAGCACTGCCAGGAGGGATCCCTGCGCACAGAACCAGGAGTAAATCCTGAGCAGAGCTGGGTGTGGCCCCAAATCCAAAAATAAACAAATAAGTAAACGGTACTTGTAGCACTGTGTAAAGAACTTGTTAAAAAACATGGTGTTGGTGGTGGGGGATGTGCATTGGTGGAGGGATGGGTGTTTGATCATTGTGTGATTGTAATCCAAACATGAAAGCTTGTAGCTATTTCCCGGTGATTCAATAAAATTTATAAAAAACAAACAAACAAACAAAACATGGTGAATGTAGACTGGGTTAAGCTGGGGTTAGGTGGTTGCTCAGCACTTG